GGGAGGAGAGAAGGGGGAGGGGGAGGGAGTGAGTTTGAGAACAGGGCCCGGAGGCCGGGCCAAGAGGGAAGAAATCTGGGAGGTTGATGTTTTGAGCGATGCGCTCATTTAGCACGGATTGTCTCATCCACCACGGCTGTCTGGTTTTACACATATCCTGATGTATAATATATATATGTGAGGCAGCATGGTGGAATCAGGCTCTCGTCAAAATAATCAAAGTGAAGAAATTTGCATTTTTCCGCAGGTTTGTGAATTTTTACCAAATTTTTGTTTTTTGGCTCAACACCTTTCCTGCCCATTAAAGAACTCATTCCTGTGTGGATGTTTTTGAAAAACGTTGATTAAAGGCACAAAAGATGTACATTTTCAGTTACCACGGACTCTTAAGCTAAGGATATAACTAATCTTTGGCGGACATTTTCTCACTAATTTTACCTCTGAAAACAGGTGACCCCCACCTCCTTCATTCGCAAATATCTCGACTTGTATTCAAGATAAATGGACATTTTTTTCCTCCAAATAAAGACAAGTGAACAAACTTTAAGATGATACCAACAACTTTACATGCCAAAAAAATGACGAGAGCCTGATTCCACCACGCTGCCCCACATATATATATATACACGTATCCTGATGTATAATGTATATATATATGTATATGTGAGGCGTCGTGGTAAAGTCAAACGCTCGTCAAAACAAGGAAATAAAAAACTTGACATTTTTCTGACTCTCTGGCAATTTTTTCCTTATTTTCTTTTTTTGGCTCTACGCCTTTTATATGTCCATAAAAACACATTTCTGAGTGGATTTACTGAAAAACTTTGATTAAAGCCACTTTTACTTTACTTTTTACTTTTCCGATCCAGCGGCCATTTGGGTTCTAGCCCTTCGGTCTGTTGATTAAAGCCACAAAAAGATGTCAATTTTCAGTTTTCAAGGACTCTCAAGCTAGGGAAATGACTAAACTTTGGCGGCCATTTTCTCGCTAATTTCACCTCTGAAACAAAGCGACCCTTACCTCCTTCAAACACAGATATTTCGACTTCTGTTCGACGTAGATGGATATTTTTTTCCACCCAAAGCAAGGCAAAGGAGCAGGCTGTCAGATGATACACAGAACTCCATGTGCCCCAAAAATTGACGAGCGCCTGATTCCACCGCGCGTGTGTCGTGACACATTATATACAGTATATATACACATAT